GCTTGGCTATTAATAAAGTCTTGTATATTAAACAAAAACACTCTGGGTGGTCAAATTCTTCTGCTGACAGAATTGTTTCTGCAAATGAATCCAAGAATTGTAATTTTCTATCTCCCTGAAATCCCCAAAATCTCCTCAAACACTGAAAGACTCTATAGCAATCTAGAGGTGGAGAAGCAAAAATTTATTTTTTTTATAGAAGCCCCCAACTAATGCGCCTTTGGATTTCAACATTGCTAGTCCTCAGGGTTTTTATTTTTTTAAGAAAAAAATATAAGACTGAACTCAATATTTATTTCCATGTCCACCTGTCAAATTTTGATTTAAATAAAAAAAAGATCTGATGGGTCAGTAACTTTATTTGAGAAAATACAATGTATTTTTATGGTAGTCAGTCAGATGTTTAGGCTGGATTTAGCATTTTTATCCACGTATTGAATACTTTCCAAGGACCCATATTATATTATTATTATTATTATTATTATTATTATTACTATTATTATTATTATTATTATTATTATTATTATTATTATTATTATTATCTGTTCACAACAATGTGAAGTCACAACTGCCAGTTCTTTAGCTTTTGGCCTTCATACACATTGAGTTCTTCCCAACAACCTAGGATGTGGTAATGTATTGGTGTAGTATATGTGCAAATCCACACAGTATGGCCTTTTGCAACTGACGGATGGAAATGTTGTCAATTCACGAATTTTCTAAGTGCCCTCCATGATTTTTGGGTATGGCACCCAGTGAGCCAATAACCACTGAGAGCACTAGTCAGTTTATGCCATAACCTTTCAACTTCTATTTTCAGATCTTGATACTTTGTGATCTCCTATTGTCTTTGTCTCCTATTCTACTATCCCCTGGTATTGCCACATCAATTATTCAGACTTTCTTCTTTTCACAATTATAGCTGATGTTTTATAACCCAAACTTTACTTTTGTTTTTCGGTCTAAACTGTTCAATTTAACTAATATCCAGTTAATAATTTCAGCAGTGTATCATATCAAAGGTATGGCTCAGATATTGATGGCTTTGACAGTGTTTCCACCATTCAATTGTGTCTAACAATTTTCTCACTATTGGATGTATTTCTCACTGATCACATCAAGCTTAGAACTTGCAATTTCCTGGTTTCTAGCCAGCACCTTTGCTACTACACCAAACTGGCTTTCGTATTGCCGTTGTATAGCCAAACCTATAGCTATTTACTGTAAATCAATATGACTCATCTAGAATAAATAAATGAGGTCCAATAACCAAGCAGAACTTTTAAATAAATAATATGTATATTAAAATACTTTGCACTGTCCATTAGATTCTGAATGGTAATATAAAACTCCTTAGCAACTGTTGATAAAATAAAATTAAAAAACTGAATACAGTTCATTCACAATAGCATAAAATAATGGAACAGAAGATATAATCAGAAGCTATTCTGTCAACAATTAGTATAAGTAATATAATATATATAGTAAAATAATACTTTAGAACAAAGCAGCATAGTTTCTCTTTCCTTATGTAACGATAACTAAGGAAACAAAGAAGGGCTTATCTGAAGTCAGTGGAATCATGTGCTTTAAGTTCAGTACACCTAGAAAAAATATGTATACTAGCAATGGTTTAAGTTATCTTTTATAAGAACTCTAAGTTACATTAACAAATAAAAAGTCAGCAAGATACATGTTATACGATGTTAATAAAAGATGATCCAGGAGAAAGGCACATTACTCATTATTCCTATTTCATGTTTGCTGCAAACAAAAACAAAACTAGTGAAATATCTATGGATACATTCCCCCATTGCATTCTACTAATTTTTCATTACCTTGTCCATTCTTCTAGAACAGTGGTTCTCAGCCTGTGGGTCGGGACCCCATTTGGGGTCGAACGACCATTTCACGGGGGTCGCCAAACCACGCTGTCCGCCATTTTTTCCCTTTCCCCTAGCTGTCCTACTCCCTCTTATTGGTGGCCACACGCACTTGGGGGGTCACCACAATATGGGGAACTGTATTATGGGGTCACGGTATTAGAAAGGTTGAGAACCACTGTTCTAGAATGATGCTGTTAATGGTAACTGCATACCAATATGAAAAGTATGTCCTCAAATTAAACTGAAATCTTGGAAAGTGCAAGGAGGGGGATCTTGCAGCATTTTGTAATTAATCTGCCATTGCATTCTTCCAAGATTTTTTCCTCAAATTTTCAATGTACCCAGTAGTTTCTAGATAATGCCACATCCGAATATCAACCAGAACCATTTCTGCTAGCTTCCAAGATCAACCAACTTCTACTAGGTGCCACCACCTGCTGAGAACAAATCATAAGGCAATGTCCATTCTGCACAAAGAAAGTGCATCATGTAATTATAAAAGTTCTGCCCTTAATGTATGATAAGAAAGGGAGCAGGAATATCACCTATTTTGATAATAACTAAGCAGGCAAGGGCATACCACATCTGAAAAACCCTGCCAAAAAAACTGCAGGGACTTGTCCAGGCAGTTTCCAAGAATTGATCACAGCTGAGTAGAAGAAAAGTAAATCACTTGTATACTTATACTTTATTGATTAAATGAGTCACATAAAATCTACTAAACACGTCACTTACAATAAGAAACAAGGAATATGCTGATTAACCCAATTTATATACTATATTCTTTATTTTTTTAGAACATTGGACTTATTGGAACCTCTGAAGTATTTAAGACTAAAATATTTCAATTTATTAGCATTTTTAAAATTCCAAATATTTTTTTCTGAAAAAGTTAATATTTGGGTATGAATGGCAACAAGAGTAGCTTTTATATCTGGTTAATGTATAACGTGCTTATTGAAATTTCGTATTCCTATTAGACATGAATATCACTATGGTTATCCCATCTACTTCAGTTTCATAGAAATATTGCACCATCACCAAAAAGATACACACATACTGATAATAAAAGTAACAACCTGTTCAGGAAACTCTTTCTAGTCAATGTTACTGCAGAACACTGCATACTGAATTCACACAACCCATATATACAAAATATCTCAATCCTGCTGCCAGTTCATTAAAGCACTAACAATTAAGACAAAACAACTTCATGAAAAGTGAAAACAATAAAGCTATAAGCTATGTACTATACTCCATTTATACTATGTTCAAAAGGGTTCTGTTATGATATTACCTTGTAAATTATTACATATTAAGATACAATATTTAAGCAATTTGACAATGTCCAAGATCAGATTATCATATTATTTTTATTGTGGAATGTACTACCTTTGATTTTAATTTAAGCTTTTACTTTTCCATTTACTTTTAAAATGGAATTGGAAAACAACCCAACCAAAATCACAGGCATGTTTTAAAAATATTTTATCTTTTTCTCTATAGTGTGCAACATTGTCTTTCAAGTAAAATTTCAAAAGTTAGAATCTGCTTTACAATGTATTGCAATTCAAATAAACAATTTAAGATCTAATACTGAAAAATAATTTAGCCAAAACAAAAGTATATGTACACTACCTCAGATTCTACAAAAACAAGCATAAACGGGTAACACAGTAATAAGACTTTTTTCAAATATATATATTATGTGATATATGAATGTTTATATTGTATTTTATTACATTGTTATCAGATGTTTTTATTTTTAAAAAAGGAATTTTAATGTATAAAGCAATCTTAAAATTGTTTAAAAGGACTCATACCCAGTATCTATAAAATTATGTCAAACAGCATAAAGTATAATCTGGAAGAGCTGTAGTAAGTTGAAAGCAGTTAAGCCTGTCATGACACAATTACTTCAGCCACAAGTAAGATTCCAGGGGAAAAGGTTTGGATCTTACAATTTCTGTATAATAAAGGTAAGCAAAAAGATGTACTAAAATACTTTTGTAGCAATATATTTTGAATATAGATACATTTCAGGCTTTTAAGAGAAATTAGTTTAATTCAAAAATTTCGTAGCCTATAGAATCACAATTATATATGTTTAAAGACAAACGGCTCGGTTGTACCTTTCTTTACTTCTATATGTTTGAGACAAGAGCTCTATAACTCTGAACCTGTTCCACATTGCATTACATAGCTTCATACAAATCAAGGATATATGTACAAGTCCTCCATATCTTTATTGCATGTAGTGGTATTCTGGCCCATACCCAGCACATCACACACACACACACACACACCCAAAATGTCCTTTTGTATTTCTATTAATGCGTTAGTGGAAAACACACACAAGATACTGATTCTGCTCCAATTACCCTGAAACAAATATTCCGACCTCATGTTCTATTATTTAAAATAAATTCATCGGATGGATGTTTTCCAGGCCATTCTGAAGTCCGCTTCGAAAAGGGGACCGGGAAAGAAAAGGTTACTTCTGCTTCTAGCCACCCATCCATCAGATGGGGAAGAGATGAGAGTTAAGTTCGCATTGAGCCATCTGAGCATGTGATAAGAAATGAATCCCGGATTAATGGGTCGACCAGCCACGAAACAAGGCTACCCAGCTTTAAAAAAGATTGCCATTTATTCGCGGAAGACTCAAGCAGAGAAGCAGCGAGCAGCCCCCTTCTCTCCCCCTGACGTATTTCAGGTAACATCTGAGAAGTAGACCCTTGACCGCAGCCTCGCCTTTTTTCATCTTGGGGGGGGGCAACGGGGAAGAGGAGAAAAATCGCCAACCGGAAGCGCCCGCATGCCCCAATCTGAGGCCGCAGGAGTGAGGGGAAAGAGTGGGGGGCCAGCTCCTAACGCTGTCCCCCCCCCGCCACTCGCCTTCCCGTTCTCATTAACCCAGCAGGGGAGATGGCTGGTTGGCTGGCCAGCAGGCAAGGTGGGAGGCGTGCCCCCTCTCCTCGTGGAATGACTGAGTGGGAATACCTCGCCTCGGCGAGCGGGGAAGCGGCGGCAAGTGGAAGGGGGCGGCGGCGGCGGGAGGGAGAAGGGGGAGCACTGCAGAGAATACAGGACCGCAGCAAGCAGGAAACTCACCGCGTCTTCTGCTGAAGGAATCCCGGCTCCTCGCCTTCGTCTCGGCGTTAACCACTAGCACCGCCACTCCCCCCCCCTTTTTTTTTTTTTACATCTTCCCACAGCCTCCCCCTTTCCCGTCAGCTCCTTCTCCTTTCTGGGTCCGGGGAGCTCGTGCCCGGCGGGTCCGTTGGGGTTGGAAGTTCGAACGCGCCCCGCGAGGGAGCCCCCACCCCTGGCGGACGATTGTCCGCGAGAGTCCGGGACGGGGGGGGGGCGCAGAGACTGAGCAGCCGGAGGAAGAGGTGGGGGGGGGTGGAGAAGAGAAGGAGAAAGCGCGGATCTTTCCTCGGCACAAAGCTTCACAATAGACACGGCGCGAGAGAGCGGCGCGCGCGTGTCGGTGCGAGTGTGCCGAAGGCGGGGCTTCTTGGCCGGCTCCCGCACTCTCTCCCGGAACGGGGGTGGCGCGACCGCTAAAGGGGAGAGGCCGGCAAAGGTGTTGTTTGCGCAGCCACCTGACCGGCAGCCCTCACCGCGCGGCTCTTCAGACTCGGGATGAAAGGAGGCGGACGCTTACAGCCTCTTTTCTGATGCCAGGCACACACACGCACCCCCGCATACACAGTCGGGTGGTACAGGCTAGCTTTATTCTCCTAGGGGTGAGAGCAAGGGAGGTGGCGGCGGCGGTAGGGTTTTATTGCGGCTTTCCCTAAACCGGCTTCTCGCAGCCAATTAGAAGAAGAGGAGGAGGAGGAGTTGGCGTTAGATCCAAAGACGTCGGAGGCAAAAGAAGAGGAAGAACGGCGGTCCGGGAGAGCTACATTTAGAGCCAGGTCGGCGCAGGCTAAACGTTCGTAGGACTTGCCGTCCTGCTTTATTTTTCCGTTGGAGCACTGTTTGAATGAATGAATGAAAAAAGAATTAAAATGCTGTAGTTTGAATACTGCAGTCCTTCTGTCATTATACAGTTATGCTAACAATACAACACCTTGTCCAATTACGGGTCAAACCGCACTGAACTCGGTAGCATTTGCATCTCCGTTATAGATAAGATTGTACTGTGAAACTTCACAGGACTCCACTAATTGCGGAAGGAAGTCTGCAATAATCTCCAGCCTCAATTTACTTTTTAATCTAGTTGGACAATGTGGGTTGCTGTCCGTTCTAAAACCGGTTTTAATAATTTAACAGTATTGAATTTCATTAAGGCTACAAATAATCTCAACACTTGCCTCTATTTATTGAAATAAATGGTATCGGACTGACAACCAACTGCATTTATACGTAATTAGATACTTACATGTCCCACGGATTTATTCTGTATTTAAATTAATACTTATATATTCCACTATAATTCTGGAAGCAATTGAGCCTATCTTCCTTTAACAATGCTTAAGATTTATGCTCTGAATTTTTACATGTCGTTTGTTTTTATCCAAAATGTGAAGTTTTTGGAACTCATTCGTGCTTTCTGAATAACCACAAGAATGAACCAGTGAATTCCTAGTCATTGGGTGCCATTCTTTTTGCTAAATCTCGAACTGGACCCTAATGCAGTTATGTTAGATCTGTTGCCAAAACGGAACCAACATTTTCAGTACGTAGCTGCGCCCTGCAATTAACGTTGCAAAAATTATTTGGTGGCATTTAGAAACATGGGAATTGAAGGCGAGTCTGATTTCTTTAGTAAAAGATTTTCGCATTGGACACCAGAGGACATTGACACCTATTTACATTGCTGCATTTCAGAACTGGGACCACTTAATAAAAAGACGGACTTTGTTTGTAGGTGACGAACGTTCAAGCCTTTTTATTTTGGAATAAAAGACGATCATTATTGTTTTGGGATAAGAAGAGCGAAATTTGGTTAGTTATAAAGATGCCAATCTTTTTTTTTCTTCATCCAATGTATATAGCTGTGGTGCTTACAGTCTTTCATCCCGAGAAAATTAATGCAAACTAATGTGCATTAAAATTACGGTTTTCCGCTATCTCAAAAGCAACAGTCTCAGTTTACGCTAAGCTCCTCCATCCGCAACAATCGAACGTATGCTGGGATTTGTGTACTGGTTAAAAGTCCTTATCCGCTCAAACTTAAAAAGCGTGAAGCTCAATGACTTCCATCACAATTGTATTTGGACAGAAGCCTAAAAATAGGTATATTCTTTTGTTTTTGCACTTTTTATAAGCCCAGTTCAGCCCACATTCAGGAAAGTCCAGAAAGAAAAAGAATTGTTTTACGCAGCTGCCAGGACTCGCTGGTTTTTTTTTTTTCCTCACGCCCCGCCCCCCTGGCCGAGGGCCACTTCCGTTCGGGTAAAATGTCGGCCGCCATCGCTGCCCTCGCGTCATACGGGGGCTCAGATTCCGAGTCCGATTCGGGGTCGGATGCTGAAGGAAAGCCCGGTCTTTCCGCCCAGGTCGCCGGGGCTGACGCTGTGCTTCACTTGGCGGGGCCGCCGCCTTCTGCGCAACAGGCTCTGCTGCCGGTAGTGGACTCGGCCCCAGCGGTGTCGGTGAAGGTAAGAGCTGGCCGGCGTCGCCACGTAAAAGAACGTAGCGGTTCGGCTACGAATCTCGCGGACTCAAGTAGTAAACAACGTTTTCCTGTCTTTGATGGGAGACTTGGCATTTCCAGCCCCTACCCAGTGCTTTGGTTGTGCCCTGGGGAAACGAGGCTGGGGGTGTTTTCCTCGCTCGCGTGCATGGCTTCTTCCAGAAAGCCGTGAGTATAAATTTTATAGCGGCGCAACAGTGGAGAGTCCGCAGGGAAAGCTTATTCCATCTTTTGAGAGTCTATTGGTCGTGATAAAGGATTATGGGAAAGGGGTGGTGATCAGCCTTGCACGCTCAAAAGATATGGGGATGTTTAAAAACATTGTCGATTTAGCTTCAGCAATCAATGCGAAGGGAAGGGGAGAGTAAATTTAACTTTACAGGCCAGCATTGATCTTCACGATCCCATTTCTTTCATGTCTTTGTATCTGAGGCATAGCATTGCAAATGAAATCAAACAGTTATTTTGGGGTTATGGAACAAGATCTCTGTTACTCAAAACATTTTTGTTTCTTCTGTATTCTCCAAAGCGGCAAGTTCTCTCTTATCACGTGATATTATTTTGGCGATAACTAGTACCGAAGGCCGTTGGAAAAACTCCTTTATAGAGTCACCCTAATTTACTTTGTAAAGATCAGTTATGGAGACATTGACAAAAGAGTGTGCGTGCTAAGTATTAAACAGATACATAACTTTTTGCTAAGTTGTGTTACTGGCACATGAAGTTCTCCATGTAATCTTTATACCAGTAAAACATTTGTCTGTTTGATTTTTTTTATATGTAACATTCAGTTGGGCAAAATGGTGCATAAGAGAGCAACAGTTTTTGAACCAATGTACTTCATATAGGGCTAACTTAAAGAATGCATCTAAATTCCAGGTCCCCTGGCTCCTGGGAGATTGGAATTTGGCAAAGTTGTGGCCACTTCAGTGCTCCTCTGTTACTGTAGTCAGCTTTCATCGCCTGATCATCATTTCTAACCCTCCATGACAGTTTCCTACAAGGAAACTGGAAGGAAATTAGAAGTCACTCCCACTTCCACTGCTTTTTTGCCTAACCTTAGCCATATAGTTTCTCAGTTGGTAAGGAAATATCTTTGAAACAATCCAAATTGTCACAGACTGTCTGCTGGTCATGAATTTAAGACAACCATCTTCTGTCCTCATATTTATCCATGCATTTTCTGTTTACCTGCTTTGCTTTGGAAGATGGGTAGATCTGTTTTTACACTGCAGGTATGGGTTGATTGAGCTATCAGTATACCCTGACTCATGGTTTTTATTTCACTAATTTTGGGGGGGGGGTTCCTAGTTTAGCCTTCTGTATGCTTTAATGTTTAATTTACTTTCTTAATATGTAAATATCAGGGAATATCCTATTTGCAACTCAATTTTCAGGTCTTTATCAGAACATTGCATGGACCAGTTAGCATCTGATGCTAATATTAGTTGGCATCTGTTGGCATTAATTTGCATCATTAATAACGATGTATATTATATGTTAAACAGCAAAGGTGAAGTACTAAAATGTAGTGTAGGATGTTGTTATTTATGTAGCAATGTTGTTTGAAAACCCATTTATAAAGGTTATAAATAGCCATGTGGTTCTTGCTGTCCAGAGTTGATTCTGGGATGACCTATAAAGTTTATAAATAAATAAAAAACAAACAAACATGGCTTCACTAATAGATTTAATAATAATAATAATAATAATGATAAAGTTGGAAGGGACCTTGGAGGTCATCTAATCCAACCCCCTGCTCAGGCAGGAAACCCTATACCATTTTGGACAAATGGCTGTCCAGTTTCTTCTTAAAAACTTCCAGTGTTGGCGCATTCACCGCTTCTGAAGGCAGGTTGTTTCACTGGTTAATTGTTCTAACTTTCAGGAAGTTTCTCCTTAGTTGTAGATTGCTTCTTTCCTTGATTAGTTTCCATCCATTGCTTCTTGTCCTGCCTTCAGGTGCCTTGGAAAATAGCTTGACTCCCTCTTCTTTGTGGCAGCCCCTGAGATATTGGAATACTGCTATCATGTCCCCCCCTCGTCCTTCTCTTCGTTAAAGTAGACATACCCAATTCCAGCAGCCTTCCCTTATATGCTTTAGCCTCCAGTCCCCTAATCATCTTTGTTGCTCTTCTCTGTACTCTTTCTAGAGCAGTGGTTCTCAACCTGTGGGTCGGGACCCCATTTGGGGTCGAACGACCATTTCACGGGGGTCGCCAAACAAGGCTGTCCGCCATTTTTTCCCCCTTTGGCCACGCCCTTGGCACCCGGTGATGTATAAGTGGTTGGGGGTCACCACAACATGGGCAACTGTATTATGGGGTCGCGGCATTAGAAAGGTTGAGAACCACTGTTCTAGAGTCTCAACATCTTTTAAAGAAATAATGCAATATATAATCCTCATTCTTAAAAAGTAATGTTTTTCTCTATATTAACAGAATCTGCACAAAAAATACCTACATCCTAAATATCCAGAGTACTTGTCTTAATGGACAGTGCTGAGTTTTATAAGCAGATACAGTTAGTGCAATATAGTTATTATAGAATATTAGACAAATTGGAACTCTGGTTTATTCTGAGTAGAACAAGCCTGGTTAAAACGTGGTTGTCTTGGGTTTCTTTCTCTGGTTTATTCCAAGGGTAGGAAAATAGAGTCTTTAATTTGCATGCCATATTAAACAAATGAAGGATGGAGCCATTATGATTTAGCAGGACTTGAGAACCAGTTGCAAGTTTGTTTACTATAGCTTGATAATACAAACAATGTATCATTAAAGCTGCTTTCTCCAACGTTCTGTATGAAGATAATAAAACAGACATTTCTGAACATTATGGCTATTTGAAGCAGAATTAATTATCTCTTTGTACATTTGGCACTGTAACCAGAATTAAAACACTACATCTGATTATAATTTCCTATTATGTTCATGGTGACAGTAACATCAATTACCTGATTAAATTCTTCAGGAACAACATAGTAATTGGCAAGCTGTGTTCAATCTAGGCGATGCTAGAATTATTCAAGAGCTTTTATGTGGGTATCAGTTTGCCACTTTCAAAACTTTGTATATGTTTCTTTCTAAGCCCTTTTGAAAATGATTCAAATTTCAGAACCTCTTTGTCATGCAGCATGTGGAACCTCTGTTGCTCCATGGTACTGCTTCGCATGTGGGAATAGTCATTCATTTCTGTGGATTATGAGGAAGAAGGTGCTGATAGGGATAAAAATGGAAATGCAGCTTAAAGACTGTGTCTAAGGGCATCTTTAGCTTCTGCTTTTCTAGCACAGGCACATGACAAGCTGTTGGCTTTTCCAAGGTAGTTCAGGATAAAATCAAAGGTGTTGGCTACTTTCAGAAGTCAAAATCGCATCTGAGTGAGTTAAGCTCTTGTGCCAATTTAATATCATATCCTAGCTATGTTTATAATTCATTATGTTCCCCAAACCAGGGAGTACCAACCAGTGTTCTGCAGGTGGGTGGGGCGTTGTCTTACCTGACCGCCTTTTCTCAGCACGGAGATGGAGAATGTCCTAATACAATGGGACTTCATTTTGCTTTCTTCTCTTTAGCTTTCTGCAATACTACAGCGATTTGGAGATGTGCAGAGTGGTGGGATAGATCAGTGGT